TCCGACCGTTCGGCGCCTCTGCTCTCTCCTCTGGTTTGTGAAGCAAGTAAAGGGATGACTCTCGTGGGAGGGACTTGAGCCGAAGGCGACTGCCTTAAGGTCACAAGGGTGGCGGCACGAGATAGTTCGGAACCAACCGCCGAACCAAGCGACGTAATGTGGAAGACTATCGTTCCGCCAACTAAGCCCCGTTACAAAGTGGCCATTCAAACCTCACGGATCTCTGCCGCAATCGAAGCTGGAGCAACTGCCACCAACATATCCATCAGCTGAATAGTACGAGTGCGCGGTGCGTGGTAGGTACGAGTGCGCGGTGCGTGGTAGACGCTGGCGTCCAAGACATCGCAACCTTCAGCACTAGACAGGCGGCCTGCGCTGTCAACGATTGAAATCATCAGGCTCTCGGAAACGGATCTGCCTCCAATTGATTTTGTCGTCCTCATGCTCAGGAGTTACTCAATTCGGTCACTGTGGGGATTTACAGGATGAAATCCGATGAAGCAAGTCAGAGACCTCGATTACAGTGTCCCAGAGGACGGTTGCTTCTGCCTGTGAGCACACTCATTCGGTGGCGCTACGACGTGAGTTGAAGACCACTACCTTAGGGTGGCGGTGCGAGATAGTTCAGTCTGACTCCGACTGCCTGCCGTCGCCCCAGCCTGCTCCTCGATGTCAGTGCGGTGGCTATCCCTCGGCCCACAAAACAAGCGATCCTGTTCTGAAGCGAGGCTTCGCCTGCGACCGTGCTTTTAGAGTTCAATCCTTGGTAACTCCGATGAAACTTGGTAACTCAATTCTTGCGACCAGTAACGCGATAACCGAACTACGTGCGTGTGTCCCACCTTTCCCGGCCAGTCAGGCTCGCAGGCTCGCCGGGCTTGTCCCGAAGAAGCTTAGTGAGCTAGTGGTCGTCATCACTGCGTGTTCAGATGGTGAAAAAAATCGGCGAATGAACCTAGTCCCCGGGGGTCAATGCTCAGCTCGTCCTTCGACTCGAAACAGCTAATATGTGATGACGGGAACAGGACAGTGGTCCCCCTGACCTGGTGTAGACAGGTGTAGCTCATTGACAAGTCGTCGAGGTTGGACGCATTGTCCTCTTGTTGGTTAAACCTCACCTCGGCGGCTTCCGGTAGTTGAAGGACGTTTTCCAATTTGTAACGCCACGTTCTGACCAAGTTCAGGACGCCCGCGACAGGAGCAGATTCAATCTTCCCTTGACCAACCATTCTATCCAGACGAATGCCTACGTCTAAAAGGATCCGGGCCAGACAGGCCTGCAGCTTCACGGAGCCGGCTACCTCTGCCCGGAACGCATCGGCTCGATGCTCAGCGAAAGTCGGGGGGTTCTTCGGCATACACACATTCTTGCCTCCTAGGACCACCCACTGGTCGGGACAGGCCTCCCTCAGCCCTTTCGACAATTCTTGAATTCCTTCCAGAGCCGTTGTCTGGTTGTCCGGTGACGCCGTGGTGTATACATTCCCGGCGACACTCACGAGATCTAGGACGTCCTTACCAAACAGCACAGGCATGAGGATGCGAGCTAGCTCCTCACACGAGAGCGTCGATTCCGTCGGAATGCTCGTAGAAGACTTCATATTTTTCCCCCCAAAAATGTTTCCTCAAAAATGGAGTTCTACCAGCGGCCTGATAGGGCCGGTCGCGGGGCCGTGCTAATCCGTCAGGGTGTGCAACGGTCGCCTTCCGCAGAGTTGTATATTATTTTGGTATGGCGTGAACCCTCTACACCCTGTTTAGCTATCCGACCGCGATATGCCCGGGCACACCTCGGCGGAGCAACGACGGAGCGCCTCAAGCACGAAACTTGATTCGATGCCCGAGGGCCTTCTTAATCTCATCACTGTACAGCCGAAACAATCCCGTCGGAACACTGGGCGGGGGCTGCTCGCCAGCTGGTCGTCGCCTCCCGACTCCGTTCTGGCACCGGTAGTCGCAGTATGGACCTCCCAGACAGCTTTTCAGGTCCGGTAGCTGCCGAACTGGGTTGTGACCCGAGGGATGCCAAGGTGTAGAGGGTGTAGAGACCCCATAAGAAATAATTTACAGCTCTGACGGCTGGGTTTTTGATATAAGGGAGACAGAGGGCGACACACACTCCTATTCCACCGTCTGTCAGGATACAGGTTATTTTTGTGGGGCGTAAACTCTCTGTCCCCCGAGCCACAACCTCCCCCTCCTAAGAATGAACCGTTCCGTTTCAAAACTAGTCGCCAACAAGCCCAAAAATTCCGTAGTCTCCTGTCGACAACATGCTTGTCCGACCAAGCGTTTTTGTGGAAAGCCTTTAGGTCCAAAATCGCGTGCGTAGTACCAAAGCAACGATGCCCGCGGATATGATAATCTGAGAACATCCCAGCCCGAAGAGGTCGCTCACGGCAATCGGTCCAACGACAATTGACCATTCCACTAACGACAATTGACCATTCCACTAGTGACCAGAAGACGTAGAGCAAGGACCCTTTCAGGTCGTCCATGGCGGAGCCGTCGTCGCATATACTAATCGGAACACGGTAGAGTTTCGCCGCCCAGGAACAGACGGTCTTGCGGAGGGTGGTGCAGAATGGGCGTTGGTTCAAGGTAGTGGCGAGGCTGGCGAGCATCGCGACGGATAGTTGTGCAACGCACACGCACGTCAGATCGCTCCGCTCGGCCGTAGCTAGAAGCCACGGCGGCGGCCCGCCGCTGCCCGCCACGTGCGCAAAACCGATGCCCGTCGGGACCAGTGTGAAGGCGGCCCGCGCACTACCGGTGAGCATCCAGCGGCCGAAGCACAAGAGTCCCAGCATGCAAAAGACGGCCGGGACCACCGCAGTCGCCACCAACAGTGTGCCCGCTGCGGCGTAGAGCGCCACGAACTGGCGCCAACGCAGCCAGCGCAGTAGCGCGTGCCACCGCGCCGCGAGCCAGGCGCCCTTTTTTTCTCGCGGCGCGTCCTTTTGC